CGCGGGCTCAGCCTGGGGACCCCCTCTCTGAAATCTTAGCGCCCCTATATCCCAAATCAGGGGTCTCAGCAAAGACGAGGAGAGGCCACCGCCAAGAAACAGCACGGGAGTCCCGCATCCCACTCAAGCTTCGAGGCTGGCACACTCTGAGAGGGGCGTCTCTGGAAGCCTTGCTTTCTAAGGCACAGATGGGGAAACTCGGTGCGGGGAGGATGGGGTCTCGGATGCACACGCCAGTAGTGGGGAGGAGGAGACTCCAGTGGGGGGGATGGGGAATCAAGTGAGTCTCAAGACTCTGGTGGATCGTCAGAAAATGGGGGTGGGGAGACACACTGAGGCTGGGGGCGAAAGCGTGGAGACAAGACTGAGTCAAAGGCTTAAAAGAGACTGTCCCCAAACTTGAGTAACTTGGACAGAAAGCCTCAAGGCTGGACTCCTGAAAGGAACCGCGGGAAAAGCCCCAGAAAAGCTGGTTGCCAGGGCTACAACTGGAGGGGGTACAGAGCCTCTGAGTCATAAGAGTTGAGGAGATGGGGGTCTTTGAGGATCACGAATAGGGATGATGCCAGTCCGTGAACCATAGGGCACGACAGAGCAGGAAAGACTAGGAAAGCCACAATGTCTCCTGAGCGGGGTTAGGTGCAAAACCCCGAATCCAGAAAAGGTGCTGGGTTCAGATCTGAAAGATCGAGGTGTGTTGGGGTGGAGGAGGAATGGGGAGAAGCCCCAGGTTCCAGTGGTGGCAGAAGCGTGGGAAGCAAGAGGAGGGCGGAGCCTGGAGGAACACCCGGGCCGCCCTCTCCGGTCCTTCAAAACCGCCCCCGCCTTGTCCACCTGGCTCCGCGGGCCGGCTCTTCTTACCTGAGATGCCGAGGATCCCCAGGCCCAGGGCCGCCCAGAGGCCGAGAAGCGCTTGGCGCAGCCCTGGCGAAGGCCCCGGCATCGCCGCCGCTGCCGGGGAGGGGAGAACGCAGGAGGCAAGGGGAGCGCGAGTGATGGAGAGCCGAGCTGGGAGGCAGCGCAGCGGGTGGAGTGTGGGGGTGGCAGAGTTGCGCCCAGGGATTGGTTTAAACGTTGGTAACTTGGTTTCCAAGGAGGGGGCGGTGGCAGAGGCGGTGATGGGGGGCGAACTGCCGGGAGGCGAGCATGCACCGGGCTGCTCTCGGCTTAGAGCAGACTAGCTGACCAGGCAGGAGCGGTCCCCCGTAGGGGGAGGGGGTCTACGTGGAGCGGTCTGATGGTCTAAAGCCTTTTGGGGGCGACCACGCTCTCCCGCGTCATCTGTGGCGAAGGAGAGGAGGGATGCTATAAGGCCCTGCCCAAACTCCACCATCCTAGGTATAGATTATGGGATAACGCGCTAGGGTTCCAGGCCACGCCCATCTTCGGCCTCCCGCTAGCGCCCCTTGGAGTAGGTGGATGGTGGGTTGCTTGTAGAATCTTGGGAAGTCATAGTATGCTGAAAAGGTGGTTTTAAGAGGAGGGTGTGGGGAAGCCTCCCTTAACTGAGGCTTAGCTTTGACCTCCAGCAGATTGAACATGGGAGCCACGCCCCTAAGACCTCCTCCGTGCACGCGGCGACGGAGGAGGGGGATCAAGTGCCCGCGAATCGCAGACACGTGTGCGTGTGCGCCCCTTTCGTTGGCGTCTAAATTAGAGTCGGTTTCTGCACACGATCTGTATTTACCCAGCGTGCAGCGGGAATGTGTCTACAATGCTGTTGTGAACCGAGTCTCTCAGGAGAGCATCTGTGGGCGCCGCAGCCTCTGCTGGATAACCAGTACGAGATTCTGCAATCCTAGCTGAACCAGAAGATCAACTGGGGACACTTGTGACCTCGCATCTGTCTCTAAGCTTTGACACCCCTCCCCAGATGCAAGCCTGGCTCGGTGACAACAAACGTGTTGCCAGGATGGAAGTCTGTGACAGCCTATGTGGTCTGAGCAATCATCTCAAACTTGTTGCTATACTAGATTTCCAATCTGGGTATCTGCTTCTACCCCGCGCAGGAGACCCCGCCCAATCATGTTTCCCCTCTCCCTTCATTAATGGTAACCCCGGGGACCGGTTCTAGCTCCACCCACTGGCCTCAGTTACGCGCAAGATCTGCTAGAAGATTAGAGAAGGGAAACTTAGCTTCCAATCAGAGCTATGGTGTGTATCCGCAGAGCCAATCAGAAAAGGCCATATTAAGAGCCTGTCCTCCCCCAACTCAGGGCCTGGAGAAGAGGCCAGTTTAGCCCTTCTGCCCTGCAGGGATAAATCCAGCAAGACTGAACGCGGAGAGGAACTCGGGTTCTGGAACCTCAAGCCGGTCTTGAAGGAGAAACTTCAGGTGCCTTGAGACACACGAGATGTTGTTTACTCCGTACCGGGTATTGAAACCAAGGCTAGGCAAACGTACCCCTGAGCTATAAATCTTCAGCCAATAAACAAGGAGTTTGGAGACGTCAGGGTCCCCTAAAAATGAAACCACTTTCTCCAAGAACCGTAGGACAAAGACTGAGGAAAAAGGCTTTATTGATCCAACAAGAGTATGTAACTTAGTTGTTCTGGGCTTCTTTTTCCTCCCTCTTGTTTGGGGCATCGAACACCCGTCTATAACTGAGTCTGAACGGCCAGGTACTTGCGCACGTAGACAGTCCCCACAGCCAGGAGGATCCCCACCAGGGCTGCGATGGAGGCAGAAGCGAAGGCTTTGGAGACTGGACTCAAAGCTGGGAGCGGGAGTGAAAATCAGGAACGAGGAGGTCTGAGGACCTCCAAGCGTGGATGGAGCCCACCCCTGTTCTGTTGGCCCTCTTGGGGTGGCAACATCCCCTCCCCCGCACCAATTCCCCAAGTTTGCAGGGTGCCTCACCGAGGACCTTCAACATAACAGGTGCAGAACTGCTGCGCACGACTAGCCCGTCGAGATTGAGGCGTGCATGGCAGGTGAGTGGTTGCCAGAGGTCGTTGGGTCCTGCCCGCATCACGTAGGTCAAAGTGACATTAGCCAGACCTGAACCGGTGAAGCGCTCCAGACTTTCAAAATAAACCACCCGGCCACCTCTTCTCAGGCTCACCACCAAGAACCCCACGGGGAACACGTGTATCACATAGCAGCGTAGTGTGTACTTGTGGCCCATTAGGACCGGAGGCTCCATGATCACGCTTCTCGGCCGTTCTAAGGCAAGAAGGGTAAGACCCACAGGCACCTCCTAAAGTAACTGCCAACTATCCCATTCCTCCACCCTTCTCCCCTCTCCCCACCCCGGCCTGAACCCCGGTCTCCCTCACTGTAAGCGGTGATCATGGCGGTGGCCTCGCGCGTTTCTCCAGCGCAAGTGACGACGCAACGCACCTTGGAATTCCAGGCCCTCACATCCAGCAGCTGGTAAGATACCCAACCAGATCCACTGAGTGTCTTTCCCTGCCGTAGCTGCGTGCGCAGGCTGGAATGCACCGGCAGGGGGCAGCTGTGGCTGCAGTTAAGCCACACCGAGCCCCCGGGAGGCACAGCCTCCAGCTCAGGGCTTAAACGCACCAAAAAAGGCGTTGAGGGCCCGGAAGGCGCGGGAGGGCTTTGCCTCCACTCATGGTGGGAGCTCACACCCCTCGGATAGGCGGCCACCAGCAAAAGCGACGGGAGCAGGACAGACTCCATGGCACAAAGCCCGCGGTGCGGTACGGGAGACCAGGGTAGTTTCAGCTGGCCCTGGAGATAAGACTCCCTGGCCACGCCCCAGAGTGGGCCCAGCAGCCCTGTTGAAGACACCTCCTCCCAAATGACACATCAGACCCCACAGTTAACCAGAAGTCATTGCACTTTTCTGAACTGGGGCTTTAGTTTTCACTTAAGCTCCAAAAGGTCATTAAATAGATTTCAGTGGGTGTTGTAATGGCTCAGGCCTTTAATCCCAGCATTCAGGAGATAGGCAGGCAGATCTCTGTGAGTTAGAGGCCAGCACGGTCCACATAGCAGGTTCCAGGACATTCAGGCTACATAGAGATGCTGTCTCAAAAAACAAAGACGAAGAAAAAAAAAAACGAACAAAAAGCTAGTTTTTAGACTCAGGGTTGGGGTAACAGGTAACACTTTGAAGAAGTGGGGAGTCAGGAATACTTAGAGGGAGCTCAAGGTAACTGAAGTGACACCTGTCCTCAAACTCACAAGTGGCTAAGACCAACATAAAACTTCATCGCCACAAAGGAAAGGCTTCTGAGCTGGGAGGGATGCTTACTGCCCGCCCCAGCTTGCAGGACCCTCCTAAGTGGTTGCAGCATTTTCTTCCAGACTTTCCCTTTGAGATGGAGCCAGGTGGGACATGCAGGGATTGACCACAGTTTCATGAGCATGAGACTCCACTGTTCAGCTGCCAAGGGTAGGCATCCATATTTAGGTATGGGGGCTGACATGGGGAGCAAAGACAGGAATGTATGTGGGTGGGCCTATGAGCAGGGAATCCCTGCTAGTCCATTTAGTATTTTTGGGAAAAGCATCCTGACCAACAGAGGAACCCTAGCCCCATGTGAGTCTTTCTCCAGGCTGTTGTGTGCACAGCCCCTGCAACAGGATCCAGACAAGAATCTATGTGATCACCTGCTCACTGCTCTAGTATCTGTGTAGGGTACTCAATAAAGAGCAGGTAAAACTTCTAATTAATAAATACATCATCACGAAGAGTTCCTGTGTCAGAGGAAGTATGGTCTTATGTTTCAACTCCCGCTTGTCTATTGGAGATCACTCTTCCTTAGGCAGGGCCCTCAGCATGGGCAGTAGAGATGAGGTCAGCATTTCCTTACCGAAGGCCTGCAAGACTGTGGGTGTGTCCAGGTCACAGATCCGCGCCCTTGATGTTGCTCCCTCCTCTCCAAGTGTGAGGCCAAGGAGGTCTGATTGGTGCACGTCCAGACCACCATCTTGTCTTGTCACAACCAGAGGAGGTGGGTAAACACTATCTGTCTACCTTTCTGTTCAAAAGCAGCACCAGCTGCTACCCGCAGAGGGGGCCCAGGGAGGTGTTGGTGTCCTGGACGCTCAGGGAGGCGGGGCTTGTGCCTTGAGTTTCATGGCCTCTTCCTGCGCCCTCTGTAGCTTGTATATCTTGATCTTTCTCTGGCGGTTATAGAAGTACATGGCTGCTGTGATTATAAGGACAATGACGAGCATTGTCACCAAAATGATGATCAGGGTAAGGTTGGTGTCTGTGTAATAACAACAGAAGGGGATAATAAGGATTAGGCATCTGGCACCCTGCCCACCACTCACCCAGCCCTGTACCCCGGGACACTCACAGACCATCAGGAACACGTCTCTGGTGACATTTCCATGGGAGCTTTCAGCATGGCACACGTAGGTGCCGTTCATTGCCCAAGTGACAGACTCTACCACCCCGATGGGCAGCCGGGCTCCATCTCCTTTCCGGCTGCAGTTCAGTGTGGGGGGTGGGTTACCCCTGGCCTCACATTTTAGAGTCTGCCGAGTCCCCACTTCCCAGGACCAGTTCGTCTGGCAGTCACTCTCGTCCAGGTACGGACCATCTGGAGAAATGATCGTGTGAGGACACAGGCCAGGAAGGGCTCAGAGGGCACCTGGGGCACTAGGGGACCACAGTTACCACCGGGCAGTCCCACTCACACAGCACTTGCAGTTCCAGGGTCCGGGTTTTAAACAGCACCTGCCCAGCCACGTTCAGGGCAGCAGAGCAAGAGAAGCGTCGCTTGTTATCCTCAGCTGTGGCCATCAGCGTGCACTGGACCTTCGGGGACGGGGGCCTGGGCTGAACATCAGTCAGCGTGCACTGGACCTTCGGGGACGAGGACCTGGGCTGAACATCAGTCAGATTCACCACCTGCGCTCCACCTCTGGCTTCACAACTCACAGTCACTTGGCTCCCTTCTGAGACGTTTGGCTGGCTCAGGGTCAAGGCAGGAGCTGGAAAGCCTGTGGGAAAGACACACCATCATGAGCCCAATGCAAACCCAGCCCTTGATGGCTCAGCGGCCCCCTCTAGTGTCAGCCCCAACCTCCAGCATTGGACCGGGTTCCTCCTTTTGAAAGGCCTAGCATATTTTTGTTGTTGTTTGTTTTTTGAGACAGGGTCTTACGTGGTATAACCCTGGCTGGCCTCGAACTCATAACAATCCCACCTGCCTCTGCTACCCCTGTGCTGGGATTAAAGGCGTGTGTCACTACTCCCTGCCTCAGGTCTTTCTCTTGAAAATGCTTTCACCTGCGTTAGTTGTGCCCCTGGTCCCAGTCCTGGACTAACCTATGCTAGGCCATGGCCCCTGGAAGTTCCACGCCTGGGCACCTACACTGGGTCCTTCTTCTGCACTGGGCCCTACCCTTTGGTACACCTCCTTGGTATCAAGTCTCTAGCTATCTCTGGACTAAGCCCACCCCTTCTTACTGTAGATGCTCAAGATCCGCTCGGCCCTCAGGGTCTGGTCTGCCAGCTTCAAAACACAGAGCAGCTTCTGAGTTCCCTCCAGCTCCACAGTCACCTCCACCAAGGCCATGGCCAACACCAAGTCTCTGTGGTTTGTGCTCTTGGAGGTCAGTGTATGGCCTCCCAGCTCCAGAGATATCTGGGCTTCAGAGGCAGGAAACAGGCCTTCCAAGGAGCAGAGCACTTTCTGCTTGGTGCCCACCTCCAGGAGGTCAGAGGTGTCGAGCTTCGGGATGGTCACAGGAAGATCTTAAGAGAGAACACAGGCATAAGGAAGAGCAATGGCTACCCACAACCCCATTTTTCTCCTTCCTTCCTTCCTTCCTTCCTTCCTTCCATGTACATTGGTGTGAAGGTGTCAGATCCCCTGGAACCTGAGTTTACAGACAATTGTGAGCTGCCATGTGGGTGCAGAGAATTGAACCTGGGTCCTCTGGAAGAGCAGTGTTCTTACTGCTGAGTCATCTCTCCAGTTCACCCTTTTTTCTTTACTGTGTATACAGGGACACGTCTCACTTGAGGAGGTCAAATGACAACTTTCGGGAGTCGGTTTTCTCCTTTGGAAGCTGGGAATTGAACTCATGTCATCTAGCTTGGATGCAAACCCTTTACCCAATGAGCCATCTCGCCAGTCCCAAAACTGCCACTCAAAAGATCACCATTTTCTCAGCACCTCACCCCTACTGCAGGGGTCGGCTTCTTCCCAACGTCCCTCCTGCACCTTATGTAGGAATACCCTGGTTCCCAGAGCCTCACCGAAAGCCCGGAGCTGCCTGGTCATGGAGACATTCGTGAACAGTGCTAGCCCGTGTGGCCTGAGGTCCAGCTCTGTGAGACATGAGAAATTGGCTTCGTGGTCGTCTCTGCTCACCAGCACCGTGGCTGTGATCTCTTTGGGGTTCTTAGGGTCCACATCCACTGGCTGCCGGTACAGCACCTCCTCCCCTCGGAGCAGCATGACTGAGAGTTGGTGCCGCGGTGTCCCACCATCCACCAAGCAGCGCAGGGTGAGGTTCTTACCCACCTGCTGCCAGGTGGGTAGAGGGTCCAGCTCCACACGCTCTGGGAATGCTGCAGGGAGACAGGGGGTTAGGGATCACCTGTCTGATGACCTCAGTCTCCCCAAAACACACCCTACAATCTAAGCAGCCAGGAATGCAGAGAGCTTTGGGGAAAGCTCGGGAGGAGGCCAGGAGTGTTTGCACAGGGACCATAACCATCCCAGCAATATCTGAGATAAATTCCAGTTTCTAGCATCAGAACCTTGGGCAAATAAATAGAAATCTAAGCACCTGGGTGTGTGATCAGACTCTTGGGGGGGGGGCAGTGGCTCAGTCTTAGAGGGCTTGCCTACCAGGCAGGAGGCCCTGGGTCCCATGTGGAGGTGAACAGAAAGAATCAACTACACAGAGCTGACCTCTGACCTCCACATGTGCACATGGCATACAGGTCTGCACTCACACATCATACACACGCACGCGATAAGGATAACATGCCTTTAATGCCAGCACTCGGGAGACAGAGTCAGGTGGATCTCTGTGAGTTCCAGGACAGCCAGAGCAGTAACACAGAGAAACCCTGTCTCAAACAAACAAACAAATGAAACAAAAACAAACAAACAAACAAACAAGAAATACGACAAATAAAAAGTTTAGGTCATCCAGCTTCCTGTAAAGCCGGAGCCTCGCCTGGGCTATGTCATGTATTATCTCAAAGAGGAACGGGCCAAGAAATTATTCAGAAGGTAATGTTTTTTTTTTCCACCCAAGCGTGACGATCTGAATTCAATCTGAGGGATCCATATGGTGGGAGAGAAAATAGATTCCCAAACGCTGACTCTGAGGGCTGGAGAGGTGGCTCAGTGGTTAAGAGCACACACAGGCAGGCCTTGCAGGGAACCCAGCATCCATTTGGTGGCTCACAAGCCCAGGGAATCTGGCAACCTCTTCTGGCCTCCTCAGGCACCAGGCACTCACTTGGTGTACAGACTTCCCTACGGGCAAAACATCCACACACATAAAATAAAAATGAACCTTTTTGTAAAAGTTGACCTCTGACATCCACACACATACTGTGCCATCCCCTCCCATTCAAAATAAAAACTTAAAAAAAAAATACAACTTGTAGAATTTGAGTTCCTTGGACTGGTGAGATGGCTCAGTGGTTAAGAGCACTGGCTGCTCTTCCTGAGGACCTAGGTTCAATTCCCAGCACCCACATGGCAGCTCACAGCTGTCTGTAACTCCTGTTCCAGGGGATCTGATTCCCGCATACAATCTTTAAGGCCAAGTATATAAAATAAAAATAAATAATTTAAAAAAAGAAGAAGAAGAAAAGAATTTGGGTCCTAAGTACCCAAACAGCAGTGGAGCCTGCTTCCCTGACTTAAAACACAGGCACGTGGGACGGCATGGTACATTACTTCCTGACTCTGAGCTTCAGTCTCTAACCAAGTCCTAGTTGTTCCATTCTTCAAATATTTGTCTGCCCTTCCCATCTTGGATGCTGCAATCACAAGCAGCAAGTGCAGACGGGCTGAGGCTGGATGCCAACTGCTGCCCAGCTTCCGGTAATCCAGCTTTCCACTAACCAGACTGCTCTACTCCCTTTGTGGGAGTGCATGCTAGCTCCTGACAGCACTTAACTCCCCAACCCATGCACAGTCTTCTCTCCCCAACTCCAGCCTAGCTCCGGGCTCTTCCCTCTACCTGGTACACCCACCCCCAGTTGTTTGTTAGCGCCCCCACCCTGGCTGACCTGGAAATCACTATATAGACCAGGCTGCCCTTGAACTCTGCCTCCCAAGTACTGGGATTAAAGGTGTGCAACCACCACACTTGGCTCAAATTCATTGTGGTCACAGAGTAGAAATTAAGGCACAGTTGAACAGTCAAAGTAACAGATACAGAAAGGTCGTAGAGACAGAATTCCAGCCCCAGCCTTGGGTTCCCAAGACCAGATACCCTGGAAAAGCTCTTCAGAGGAACCTCCTAATGCCACCAGCAGGAATGCCTGGGGACTTCCCCTCTTCCAGGGCAACACTGGCACATAAGCCCCCATCTCCCAAGCCACATGCTAAGATTTCCCAAAGGCTTCTGTCCTGATACTGCTAGGATTATGGCCTTTAGACTTCTTCATGTCAGAGCAATCTGAGGGAAACTGACAGGGTCAACAAATAAACCAAGACGCCAAGTGCCCAGTGGTCACCCAGTTCCTTGGTGCTAATTCCAAAGCCAGCTGGGTAGAACTTCTGCCTGGAATTCCCCGGTTTAGGTAAAGAACCCCAGCCTAGAATACTCAGAGAAGCTGGGAGCTGGGTTGGTGGTTACTGCTAGCCTAGCATGTGAACACTGGGTTCCATGTATAAATACGGCCTCCGCCATGCCATTCTGCCCCCACTGCTCCTGAACACAGAAACCGCCACAGTACTCCTCCTCAGCACCCATTTCCTTCTGAGTTACAACATTCCTTCCAGCAGGAGGGTGCTTATGCATTCTTTTTTTTTTTGAAAGATCAAATGACTTTATTGCAAAAAGGTCTGCTATTTATTACTAACGGTTCTTCTGAAAACACAAACACAAGAACTGAGCACCACATCCAGAGTGACTCGCCCTGTAGCTAGAGAGAGGCCAGGACTGAGGCTGTGGGGCTTCCCTCGCTCAGCTCACTCCAGGGCTCCAAGTTACATCTGATAAGAGAAAGGAAACCAATAAAATCCCCAAGTACAGGAAGTACAGGAAGGTCACAATAACCTTAGGGCTACTGACGCTAACTGCTGCACATCCCAGCCTATAACTCCAGCAACGCTATCAAAACCCACTGTCAAAGAGCTGCTCCCATGGCCCTTTGCTGTCCTGACCGGCTAGCCCCAGCCTGGCTTCTGCATACTGCAGAGCACAAGCGTTAACATCCACATGCAGTGTCCAGGTTCAAGTATAAAGGTCTGATCAGGACAGCCCGAGTCACGTAGTGCTTAAACCTCTGTAGTGTCTATACTGGGGTCAGACCCCTGGACAGGCTGGCCAAAGGTGGCACAATTCATGAGGAAGTATGAGTAACGTTCCACCACCAAACTTGCTGCCCATCCAATATGGACACCACCCGAGTCAAGGTCAAAATCTTGACATCAGCCGGGCGGTGGTGGCGCACGTCTTTAATCCCAGCACTCGGGAGGCAGAGGCAGGCGGATCTCTGTGAGTTCGAGACCAGCCTGGTCTACAAGAGCTAGTTCCAGGACAGGCTCCAAAACCACAGAGAAACCCTGTCTCGAAAAACCAAAAAAAAAAAAAAAAAAAAAAAATCTTGACATCAGTAGTGACATCGGCGACTAAAGTTATATCCGTATGAAACTGGAATCTGTTTCATTTCTTCATTAAATGGAGTCTTCCAAAGGTATCAAGTATATCCTTAGGAGGTATCTTGGGATGGCGCTGGAGGATCCTGGCTTTCAGGTTCTGGAGGAGGAGCTGGCACAGCTTCTTTTTTCTGGGCTGCCAGGAACTCGTGGATTGCTCGCTCTATCTGTGGCCTGAAGATGTGATTTAGTTTGGGGTCCACCACCTGAGAAATGATCCTGTCCACTCCTGCTTCCAACATGCCTGACTGAACCACGCTCTGCCTCAGCCCATTTCGCAACTGGTTCTTGTTCATTGCAGGATTCCTTTCCTGTTTGTCCAGGTGTGTTGACACAAAATTATCCACTTTCTGCCTCAGGTTCTGGTAAGCTGGCTTGGTGTCCAAGTCAGCCAGGCAGTCCCGGCGGAAGCTGTCGAACAGGCCGCGGCTCTTGAGCTGCTCCACTATGAAAGCAATGAGCTGCGGGTCTCTCGGAGGTAGCGAAGCAGGGTTGACCGGGCCCCCTGCCCCACTGGAGCCCGCCGCGCCCGCTCCCGCACCGTCCGCCATGGCCGCGCCCCGCGCCCGCGCTGAGCCCCGCGCTCGGATGCTCCTCCGGGAGCCGCGGGCCGCGCTGTGCAGACACGGAGGGCCCCACGGAGGCGGCGGCGGGCCCACCGCTTATGCATTCTTTTATACAGTTGCATACTCTTCCATGGAATGTCTAAACCAAACTTAATCTCACCATCTCTGTGAATGTTTGACCTTCAAATACAGCTGCACTGCAGACTGGAGGTAGAGCTGAGCAGCAAAGTGAATACTTGGCCGAGTGCCAAGCCCTGATGATTCCATCCTCAGCCCAAAGGGACAGAACAACCCTAGAGCCTGACTCGTTTGTTCCCTGTAGGAGGGATCCATGCATCAAGGAGTTCCAAGACTGTGGAGGTCACAGGACACATACAGATCTTGTGTAAAGAACTTACATTCAACCTATGATCTGGGTGCCTGGGAGGCACATACATGAAGAGCAAGTGGTTAACAACACTGGCTGCTTTTCCAGAGAACCCGGGTTCAATTCCCAGCACCCACATGACAGCTCACAGCTGTCTGTAACTCCAGTTCTAGGGAATCTGACATTCTCACACAGACAGACATGCAGGGAAAACACCAATGGGCATAAATAATACTGTTTTGTTTCGTTTTTTGAGACAGGATTTCTCTATGTAACAGACCTGACTGTCCTGGAACTCGTTTTGTAGACCAACTGGCCTCGAACTCACAGAGATCAGCCTGTCTCTGCCTCCCTAGTGCTGGGATTAAAGGCATGCACCACCGGCTACCACCACCTGGCTTAAAAAATTATTTTTTAAAACCCAAAATATTAGAAATAGTTAAAAATAAAGACAAAACAATAAATAAAGTTTTAAAAAAAGCAGAATAATCCAGACATCAAATGGTGGCATTTTGGAATGTGCTAAATTCCTGTGGTACATTCTCCTTGAAGTTTATAAAGGTCTCTAAGTGACAGTGGGACTTTCCAAGGCTGTCTGCTGGTGCCAGTTGCCATGTCCCCACTGGGTCTCCCTCTACTCCGCCCCGGGCCCTGTCACTCACAGTATAAGATGATGGTGGCAGAGGCTGAGGACTGGATGGAGCCACAGGTCTCAAAGCACAGGGGCTTGCTGTCTTCTTCAATGTCACTCAGTTCAAACAGCTTCCACCTGAGTCCACTCTCTACCTCTCTTTTGGGCCACTGAGTCTCCAAGCCCAGGTAGAGGTTCTCAGTGCAGGAGGAAGAGCAGTTCACCTGCATGGATGCACCCATCGGCAGGAAGGCTTCTATGGGGTGGATGGATACTTGAGCGCCACCAGGCCCTGGAACAAAAAGGAGAGATGATAGGCTGATTCAGCCGTGTAACTTCAGAGCTAGGGGCTGGGTATGCAGCCTTGAGACAGGCAGGATTTTGCCCTCGATGCAGCCATGCTTGAGTACACAAGGTAACTAATTATGGGTGTTGAGGCTGGGTGCAGTGGGCAGAGGGCCTTCCTGGTATGCCTGAAGCCCGAGTTCCATCCTCAGCACCCATAACATGGGTGTAATTCAGCACTCAGGAAGCAGAGGCAGGAGGATCAGGAGTTGAACACCATCCTGGGCTACAGATGGAGCTCAAGGGTAGCCTTGGCTACAGAAAACCCCCTCTCCCAACACCAAGTACTGGATTTTCTTTCTTTGAAAAGTGGTGGTATATGCCTTTAATCCCAGTACTTGGGAGGCAGAGGCAGGAAGATCTCTCTGAGTTTGAGGCCAGTCTAGTCTATGGAGTGAGTTCCAGGACAGCCAGTGCTACACAGAGAAACCCTGCCTGGGGGAGGGGAATTAAAACAAAAGTGTCTGAGCTCAAGTTTCTCCTCCGCCCCAAAGATTCCAGTGCTGTGATTAGCAGTCTGGGGTGGCGGTAGTCCAGTTGGAGATTCTCTCAGGCACCTCTGGAATTATTCTGGTTCCATGGAGAGCCCTGAGGCTGAAAGGATCCAGCTAGGAGTAACGGATTCTGGGATTGAGCTGCAGAGCAAGTTCTGAATCTTCCTCTCATCGGAGGACAGGACGCAGGTGCTGCCCCCAGGCAGCAGCAGGAGAGGGCAGCAGTGGGGAGTCCTGAGCCACCTCACTTCACAGCCTCTGCCTCCTGAGTATACAAACCCTGGAATTCCCCAGCGCAGAAGCAGCCTGGACTTCCCCCAGGGGTGAGGATGAGGAACAGAGTATCTGTGGGGAGCAAAACGGGACCTCAAAGCTCAGCTTGGTATCGGTGGTTCCACACACTATTTGTTCCCCACTTGGGCCACATTCTAACTGCCCCATGACAAGGGCGGGGACCACAGTTCCCATTGCACAGATCAGGATCCCAGGTTCTAAAAGGACAAGTTTATGGAGGAGTGGTGTGTCTCGAGCCTGTGATCCCAGAGTGAAGAGGGGAAAACGGGAGGGGGGGGAAGGAGCGTGAAGACTGAGAGTTCAAGGCCAGCCTAGGCTAAGTGTCTTGGCGGCTTTCTCAAAACAGGAAAGAAGGGAAGGGGAGGGGAGGAGAGGGAGAAGAGAAGAAAGAGACTGAGAGATAGACAGAATTGTGTTCTGTAACCCATTCGCGGGATTCGAACTCCAAGCTGTTAGTTTTCAACCCTTCACTTCCACTCCCACTTCCCGTTAATAGCCACCTAATTACTACCAGTTTGCTGTTCCGCTGGCCAGGGAGAGCAGATTCCACCCGGAGTCCAGAGACTTGTCCCTAAAAGCGACCCCACCTTGGACTCACCTGGAATCACAAGGGCTACCAGGGCCAGGAGCAGAGGCAGGGTGGGAGCCATAGCAAGGCCAGGGCAGAGCAGATAGCAGCGTCCGGGTCACAAGCACTGGGTGCAGACTGAGGCTCTGCACCGCGTCGGTCCTTTATAGTCGCTGGCCACGGGGGGACCGAGGGGCGGTGCTGGCGGGGCCACTTTCCCGGAAACCTCGCGCCTTCCCCTCTTGAAAGAGGACTTCGGTATTTCCGGATGGAGACAGTGCCCTGGCCGAGAGGGGTGGTCCTGCCTCGCTGGCTCTCGTGGCTCAGGAATTTCCAAACTGAAGCAATAGACATGTTGGGGGCGGGGTGTGTGAGGGAGAGGGTGTCAGCGAACTGAAGGTGCGTTCGGAAGAGAAGGCTCCGGGCCTCCTGGAGTCATGCCTCCAGGTTAACTAGTTAACTAATGCGTAATTCCTTGGACGACTATCCCCTCGAGGGGTAAACTGAGGCTCGGTGCTGGGCAGGTAAACGAAATCAAATCCCTAACCTCCAGCTCCTACAGGTCCCTTTAACCCATCAGACATCCTTAGCCAAGGGTAAGAGCTCCCTGGAATCACACCGTCTACCCAGAGGCGCCCCTCTCCTTAGGGCCACGCCCCACCTAGTTGGCACTAGAGATTTTCGGAGCAACGGTCCAAGCAGGACCGGACAGATCCGGCGTGGTGAGTCCTGCCAGAGAGGCGGAGTGCAGTCCTCGCGTCCCTCCTCCCACCCACGGGCGCCCCCGCCCCCAAGGCCTCGCTTCCCCTTTCTACTTTGACCTCTGAGGCGTCTTGACAGCTCCCCAAGAAGGAAGGAAGAAGTCTGGTCCTGTGGCATAGAGCCCTGCGCCGCCCTTTCCCAGGCTGGATGAGAAACTGATAGCAACTGAAGGGGAGAGGTGGCCCCTCCCAGAGAGAAGGACCTTTCATCCCTGACCCCCAAACCCCCACTGAGTCTTCTCTCCCCTCTTCCTCTCCCCCTCCTCTTCTCTTCAATCTCTCTCTCTCTCTTTCTCTCTCTCCTTCTCCTCTTTCTCTCTCCCTCCTCCCCTCTCATCTCTCCCCCACAAAACCATTTCTTTTCTTGAGGCTGGGCGTCAAATAGCCCAGGCTGGCCTCAAACACTCCGTGGCTGAGAATGACCTTGAACTCCGGATCCTGCCTCGTGCTTCACCACGCTTGGTTATTTTAACTTTTGTTTTCTTCAGTGAAACTGAGACGGACCCTGAACTCCAAGGCTGACGAAGAGAGGCCTCTTGAACCCCAGTCTTCCAACTCAGGGGCTTGCGTTGGACCTCAGGCGCCCGAGGAGGCTTCCTGTTGTGGGACTCCGGTACAGTTGCCGTGGAGACCTGCGCTAGGCCAGGAGGTCGTGCTGCAGATGCGGAAGGGAGAGGTCTAGATGAGCACGCTCTTCCTCCCGCGCCGTAGCTCCCGGGACACTCCGCAACCAACGCCCCGCCGCCTGGGCATTCCTAAGGAATTTCCACGGGGATCTTTTGATCTTAGGGGGCTGGAGAGGAGGCATTCAGTCTCCGCCCCGGAACAACCGTGGCAGAGTTGCCAGGGTGACCTCAGGGAGGTCTGGGAAAAACCCTCGGAGTGGATCTTTCTCTGGGTATCACTAAGAGTCTTTTGGCCCCTACTTCATGTGCATGAGCCTCCAGCTCCCTACAGTACCATCTGCAGCCCTAAGAGTATGGTTGTTTAAGTGATGCCTACTGTGTGCAGGGCACCATTGTTCCCTGAGCAGAATATTGGAAAATCCTGCTGGGATGCTCAGCTGAGCGGTAACAAGCAGAACACAACTCTACTGCACACAACTCTACTGTGACAGAAACGTTCAACAGTGTAGAGCAGCCTGTAACTGTGATACTCAGGGGCAAGAAAGCTGATTGAGGTCAGCCTCAATCATGAGCTCAAGGCCAGTTCCACAGAGTCTGTTTTTTAAACACCATCACCTGGGGACTGGAGTGGTGGTTTAGCAGTTAAGAGCAAGTGCTCTTGCAGAGCACCCTGGTTCAATTCCTATCACCCATACAGCAGCTTACAACCATCTGTAATGCCAGCTATAGGGGTCCATCTGATGTTCTCATCTGACCGCCCCGGGCACTGGCAGGAACACACACACACACACACACATCTTAGGGCTGAAGAGATGGCTCAACAGTTGATGATCCAAGCTCAGTTCCCAGCGCGTCAAGCAGCAAGCATGCATGTGGCACACATGCAGGCAAAGCATTCACATATGAAATACAATTAATCAAATACGATAATCTTCCTGGGGCTGTAGCTCAGTAGAGTGACTGTTTAACCATCACAAAGCCTTGGGTCAGTGTGGTGGCACAGACATATCACTCCCAGCACTCAAGAGGCAGAGGCAGGCAGACCTCTGAATTTGAGACCAGCCTGGTCTATAGAGCAAGTTCCAGAATATCCAGGGCTACACAGAGAAACCCTGTAATGAAAAAAGAAAAACAGGTGTGAGTGTGGAGAGACGTGCAGCGGTTAAGAGCACTGGCTGCTCTTCCAGAGGTCCTATGTTCAATTCCCTGCAACCACACAGTAGCTCACAACCATGTATGAGATCTGGTGCCCTCTTTTGGTAGGTCTGTGCACATGCAGACAAGAGCACTCATTAAAGAAAAACAAAAAAATCCAGAGCAGTAGTGGCATATGCCTTTAATCCCAGCACTGGGGAGGCAGAGACAGGTGGATTTCTATGACTTCAAAGTCAGCCTGGTCTACAAGAGTGAGTACCAGGATAGCCGAGGCTAAAAGAAACCCTATCTCGGTGTAGGGGGCACGGTTAGAGGCTAATCTGGTATATATGTGACCTTGCCTGTGTGGTTCACTGAACATCTCTTGGGTTTAGATCTATTCCCAGGCTAGACCCACTGGATTTGTTGAGGCTTGTGGGTAGGGCCAAGGGCAATTCCTGGGTCCTGGTCTGAAATCCTGGGAGGGCCATTTGCCGAGGTGGGGACGGGAACGTACTTCGGAGTAGCGCATTCTACAATTACATTCTTTTGTAGTTTCCTTCCCTGTGCTGTGCCTCAGTCTGCAGGAAGGGCATGACTTCCTCCCTGGTGCCAATGGTCTCACACAAACTAAGGAATGTACTGAAGCTTCCAGCCTTAGTCGAGTTCTGCTGGGGACACCTTGCAGTTCCCTCAGCCTGCCGTGCTTTCCCAGTCACCCCAACTCGGCTTGTCCTCCTACCTGGAGCCTGAGCCACCCCAGCTTCTTCTCCCCAGCTCTGGTGCTTTGCTTTTTTTTAAGACAGTCTCATGTAGCTCCTGCTAGACTCAGACTATGTAGTCCATGGTGACCTTAAACTCCTGGTCCTCCTGCCTTAGCTTCCCAAGGGCATCCAGCAGCTTGTCTGGCTCCATCCTAATGACTTGAAAGTACATTCTAGGGACAGCACTGCTTTCTTAGGATGCCTTTTGTCTCCAGTGTGGCGTGACTGGTTCTGGCCTTGTGGAAACCCTGTGGGTGGTGGTGGGTTTTACTGCTTCCTTAAAGTTCTAACATAGGAACTGCATCTGTGTCAAAGTAAAACTGTCCCCTTAGGCTGGAACACTCCAGCTCAGACCCTCTAACTGTAGTAGTGGCCAGTACACACTGGGTGAACATCAGCACACCTATAACTTATTCCAGTGGCTTGTTCAGTGGGATTGGGGCACGTGATGTTGTTTGAGACATGGTTTCTCTGTGTAACAAGCCCTGGCTGTCCTAGAACTTGCTCTGTAGACCAGGCTGTCTCTGTGTCCTGAGTGCTGGGATTAAAGGCGTGTACCACCACGTCCCAGCATTGTTTAGTGTTTTTGAAATAGGGTCTGTGGTAGCCCTTCAAGTTATGTAGCCAAGGGTGACTTTTCCAACCTTCCCTCCTGTTTCTGCCTCAAGTGCTGGACACTAAACAGGTGTGTGTCACCATGTCTGCCTGCCTTTACTATGTAGCCCAAGCTATCCTTAAAATTGTAGTCCTCAACCCTCAGCCTCTCAAAAGTGCTACACTGCAGCATACCACACAGGCTTCTATTTTTCTAGTAACATCAACACATCCCATGGTTACTTTCAGCCAGAAAAGGGCTGGCAGTCTCAGTGTGTATATACACCAACAGAAAGAAGTCCTAGTCAACGTTGGTCCTAGTTTAGAGACAGTGCTGACCGTTCTTTGTGGGAACCTGCCCACTCTCTGGGAGTTCTCATTTTTCCTTTTTAGATGATTTGTGTGAACTGGTGTTTTGCCTGCATGTGTGTGAGGGTGTGTGACCCCTTGCAACTCGAGTTAACAGACAGTTGTGAGCTGTCATGTGGGTGCTGAGAATTGAACCTGGTCCTCTGCAAGAACAGCCAGTGCTGTTAACAGCTGAGCCACCTCTCCAGTCCTCATTTTTCCTTTATAAACCTATGTTCAGGGGCTGGAGAGATGGCTGCTCTTCCAGAGGTCCCAAGTTCAATTCCCAGCAACCACATGGTGGCTCACAACCATCTATAATGAGACCTGGTGTCTTCCTTGCCAGCAGTACATTGTATGCTTAATAAATAAATATTTTTAAAAAATAAACCTATGTTTATTGGGTGGTGGCACACGGCTTTAATCCCAGCACTTGGGAGGCAGAGGCAGGCAGATCTCTGTGAGTTTGAGGCCAGCCTGGTCTACAGAGCTAGTTCCAGGACAGCCAGGTCTGCTACACAGAGAAACCCCGTCTTGAAAAACAAAAAAGTAAACCAATGTTCTCTGCTAAAAATAAGTAAAACAAAACAAACAAATCAGGCATAGTCATGTGTACCTGGAGTCTTTCTTTATACTTGGGATATACAGCCCTGCCTGGAAACTCAGTGAGGGGCCGAGGGTTAGCTTAGAGCGCCCATCTAGACACAGACCATAGGGAAAAATGTTTTCTTTTAAGCCCTTTTAATTTTTCTTAACTTACTTTATGTCCTCTGTCTACATGTCTATGTATTGTTTGTGCCTTGTGCCAGCTCCTTCTGGAACTGGAGTTGAAGATGGCTGTGAGCTGCCACGTGGGTATTGGGACTCCAAGTCTGGTCTTCTGGGAGAGCAGCCAGTGCTCTTCAGTGCCAAGCCACTGATCTCTTCAGCCCACAATTTTTAAACAAAAACAAAAAACTGAGAATATATCCGAGTGGTGGCACGCCTTTAATCCCAGCACTTGGAAGGCAGAGGCAGGAAGATCTCTGTGAATTCAAGGCCAGCCTGATCTAGAGAGTAAGACAGCCATGGTTATACAGAGACCTCAGGACCTTCGGAAGAACAGGCAGTGCTCCTAACCTCTGAGCCATCTCTCCAGCCCCCAAGAGAAACCCTGTCTTGACAAACAAAAATAAAAAGCAAAACTGGGAATACCGGCGTGTTGTCTTTAAACAGATTTTTTGTTTTATCACAAGAACACATGACACTGGTTTGTCTGATTCTGTGCCTGAGGAAAGCTGTCAGAGGAAGCCCGCATGGCACACAGCTGGCGGACCCTCCAGAAGTGAATGCAGGCTGCTGGCTTGGCACCCGTGCATGTTCCCAGCATCTGCCTCAGGAGGAAGAAGCTCCTCCTGACATTGTACTGTAATATACTGGCAGCAGGAAGAAGCTCCTCCTGACATTGTACTGTAATATACTGGCAGCAGGAAGAAGCTCCTCCTGACATTGTACTGTAATATACATTACATAGGATGTATCCATATATGCTGGGCATTCATAGGAACAGGATGTGAGCCCTGGAGGAGGCTCCTAGGATGCTCAGCGTTGGATTAACAGCCTAAGCGCTGACAGACCCCACACGCAGTGACAGCTCCATTCCCAAGTCTTGTCAACAATTGAGTTTACTTTTAATGTGGCAAGAGATCCCCAGGAGGCACTTGTCTTGGCTTCTGGCACCAGGACCCAGCAGCTTCCAGGGACCCAGCAGCTTCCAGGGAACAGCCTTTTTGCAGGACAGATGATGTGCTGACCTGGTCCCCAAGTGGGGTGGGCCTCTAGGTGCCCAGGGCAGGGTCAGGGGAAGTCATTGTAGGGCAAGCGGAAGGGGTAGAGCGGAGTGTATCTTGAATCCTGCCAGAGTAGCTTGTCCTCCAGGAAGGCGATGGAAGGCAGGGTGAGGACCAGAGTCTGGTGTTTGAGCATGCTGTACACATTCAGGCCTGGGATGTGAGCGCACAGTCAGGGTGTGGCTGTCCTCTATTTCAGACCAAGTTCCTCTTATCTGAAGCCTGAGCCCCTGCCCTCCTCTAAGGTATACTGCTAGTCTTTAGGTCCCACTGAAAAAGGAACTGAGGATCTACCTGCCTTTACATCAGCCCAGAATTTGACTGTGACCCCCCCATGCCACATTCCAATGAGGAGGACCCGGGAAGTGAATGAACATACTGTATCACTGGAAGACCAGGATGAGGAAAAGAAAAGGACAGGGGAAACCAGCTCTCACCCAGGTGCTCATGCTTGCCCCCTGCAGGCTATGTGTGGAAGAGACTTTAGCAGATAATGACCTCCCAGGGCTTCTTTCAGTTGGGACAGCTGAAGGATGGAGGAGTGGCACAGGAGGCCCTAGGCCCTGGCTTCCACCCCAGCACCAAAACTAAACGGTAAATTCTTTGGCATGACACTCGGTCACGGTGTGACTGTACAGGGTTTGAACTGCTCCAAGGTTCCCAGGTGAGGGCTTGTGGGGTGAGGGCTGGGCCCATCACTCACCAACTGCAGGGATCAAGTTGAAGCTCTTGAGCCTGGAGGTGGCTGCCACAACATTCTTGGGCATCTCTTCATGTATCCTGGAACACATGGATGCTAAGAAGGTAAGTCTGGCAAGGCAGAACACAAGAGACTTGGCCCCTACTTCCCCACCCTGCCCTGTGCCCTCACAAGTCTACAAGGAGCACGGAACTCCCCCAGTGGCGGTACTGGGCCAGCTCTGTCAGGTACTGAGGGTCTGCAGTGGGCAGTTCCAGAGAATCCACGATGTGAAGGTCATCCTATGGAGAGAGAGAGAGAATCTTGGGCTCTGTCCTAGGACCGCCAGGCGCCAGCTGTTTTCCCGCCCAGCTGTACTGGATCATACCTGCATCAGCTTGACAGTCAAGGCCACCTTGAGGCCCAGTGCCCTCACTTTCATGGGCAACATGTAGTAGTAACTTGTAGGGCCCCGGGGACCATGGGCTACGCCTCCTGCAGGGACAGTGTGGCATGTGAACAGGTGCTGGTCACTGCTGGGCTGGGAGGTCAGAAATCAGCCTGATACTGAGACAGAGTAGTGGAGTGGGCAATAAACAGGAGCTGGAGGAGCTGGGAAGGACAAGAAAGACTGGAGAGTGGGGAGGAGGGCCTGTGGATATGCATGAAGATAGTCATCCAACTCTAGTACAAGAAACTGAAGGAGAGTAAGAGTTCAATACCAGGATCAGCTTGGGATACACAGCAAGACCCAGCCTCAAAAGAAAAAAAATACACGACCACATTATCAAAGGAGGTGAGGGCTGTAGCTGAGAGAGGGCCTGCCTAGTGTGCACACAACCTTGGATTCCACCCCCAGCACTGCATCAACAGGCTTGGTGGTGCAGGGCTCTCAGATCTCTGTGCCTCATGCTCAGCAAGCCTGAGTCCAGTGTCACCTGTCCCAGTGGGCTAAGAAGCTGGGGACTCAGGTGTCCCTTGTCATGGGAGTTGTGGGCATCTGGGACTCCCTCCCAACTGGGCCCCACTCACCTCCCCGCCATATGGGGGAACGGATGCTGCCATGCCGGGCACGGCCACTGCCTTTCTGCTGCCAGGGCTTGCGGCCACCACCACTCACCTCAGCCCTGGTCTTGGTCTTAGCATAGCTCTGTGAGCACAAGAGAGGGTGAGGTTCAGACAAATGGCAGCAAAGACTGTCTCAGGGAGGCAGTGGGTGAGGTTCAGACAAACAGCAGCAAAGACTGTCTTAGGGAGGCAGCGGGGGAGGAGAGGGACCTGTTCACAGAGCACCTGACGTTTCTGTGTGTCCCCACACAGCCCAGACTCTGTATGTTCAATTTCCCTCCTCGGCTGCGGCAGTGCTGCAATTACAGGCTCGGGCCATCACATCTGACTCCCTTGTTGACTCCTGAATGTTCTCGGCACAAAACTCTTTCCTCTCACCGACAAAGTGATAATACTAAGCTGTGTGGTTCTTTCCAGAGTATTCAGGCATGCCGTCCCCATTAACCTCACTCCAGCTGCACTGCCTGTCAGGTTAGTCAGACTATAGGTAGAGTATATAAATGTTCCTTTATGGCTGGAGCATGACTCAGCAGTAGAGTACCTGTCTAGAAACTCTAATGACGGGCTGGTGACGTAGCAAATGAGGCGGTGGTGGCTTATTAACAGAGAAACTGCCCACCCAACCTTTGAGGCTCTAGGTCCATCACACAGTACACAGCACTGAGGACCTCTCTCTAGAGAGGTGATGTGCACCCAGTCTAACTACTGATTCTGTTCACCTCTCCCACTAGCCTGAGTCCTCGGGGCAGGAGTCTGCTGCACTGCAGACCCGCTAACGTAACACCCACAATGATGGGTACTGAGATATGACCTGAGAAGTGACCTCCTCTGAATGGCACAGGCAGACAAGGCCTGAGCCAGGCTGTTTCCAGAGTTCACACTCGCACACCTCTGAGCCCAGTGGGCTCTGCCCAGCTAGCTACTCAGGACACTTACGATTCTCTTGAAGTTCTTCTGCCAGATGGCAACCTGGTGCAGAATATCCAGCCTGGAAAAAGGGAAGGGAGACCTAAGAGGGACACCCCAATTGAGAGGGACACCCCAATTGAGACTCTCCCACACCTGCACCCCAGTAAAGGAATCCTAGGTGTTCCTTTGGGTGTTCAGGACTCTATGTCTTCTACTGTGATAACCACAGCTGACACCGCCTCAACTCAAGCCCATCTATGTACCATGGAGTCCAGTCAGGCTTGGTGGCTATGCCTCACCTCCTGGTACTCAAGAGGCTAAGGCAACAAGATGGAAAGCTAAAGGCCTGGCTGTGCTTGATGGTAAGACTCCATCTCCCGCTGGGCGGTGGTGGCGCACGCCTTTAATCCCAGCACTTGGGAGGCAGAGGCAGGCGGATCTCTGTGGGTTCGAGGCCAGCCTGGTCTACAAGAGCTAGTTCTAGGACAGGCTCCAAAGCTACAGAGAAACCCTGTCTCGAAAAAACAAAAAAAAAAAGACAGTAGAGTTGAGGGCAGGGTGGTGGTGGTGCACACCTTGAATCTCAGCACTCGGGAAGCAGAGGCAGGTGGATCTCTGTGAGTTCAAGGCCAGCCTGGTGTATAGAGCAAGTTCCAGGACAGCTAAGGCTACAAAAACAAACAAACAGAGTGGAGCTGAACATCAGAACCTCTGTACCTGCTCTCTCACTCCAGCAGGCTCAACCTTGTGAGGGGAGGGAGGCTGGAGAGGTGGCTCAGTGGTTAAGAGCGCTTGCTGCACTTGTAGAGGCCCAGGTCCAATTCCCAGCACCCACAACAGCCCACAACTGATTTTAACTCCAGTCCTGACCCCTTCCTTCTTTGGGCTTCTGAGGGCACTGCACACATGTGGTCCACATACACATTCAGAGAAACACTATATATAAAATAAAAATCTCAATTTTTTTTTTCCTTCAAGACAGGGTGTCTCTGTGTAGTCCTGGCTGTCTTGAAACTCCCTTTGTAGACCAGGCTGGCCTCCAACTCAGAGATCCACCTGCCACTGCCTCCTGAGTGCTAGGATTAAAGGCATGCACTACTACCACCCGACTCAAATATTTTTTAAGCAAATAAAACCAACATATACTACAGAAACCTGAAATACAGATGAGATTTACTGGCATTATAGTTGTCTGTGTGTGCACACGCGTGCGCACACGCATAGTCAGAGGACAACCCTAGGTATTGGTCTTCTTGTTTGCTGATGTTAATGCCAGGCTACTGGCCTTGGAGCTTCTGGGCACACTCCTGTGTCCACCTTCCATATGTGAGCAGGAGTGCTAGATTACACACATATTCCACCACACTTGACTTTGTGTGGGTTCTAAGGGTTAAACTCGGACTCGGGTGCAGGCGCTCTGCCTATTGACCCGGCTCCCCAGCCCTGTAGTAAGCCTGGTAAGTCACTAAGTATCCATTACTGACTGTGCTTCCAGCCACATGCTACTAATGTCCACTGAGGGCAATGTGGTGGGAAGAGCAATCTGTGGGCAACTGATCCGGCTCAGTGGACAGAGACACTTGCAGCGAAGCCAGACACACGATGAAAAGAGAAAATCAATTCCCGTAAGTTGTCCCCTCAGTGCCACACATGCACTGTGGCACACATGTCTGTCGTCCCCCCCAAAAAGGGAAAAAAAATGAAAAGCCCCAAGTTCATTATGGAGATGGTAGGAAGTTGCAGCCTGGCCTGACAGTACACACCTTTAATCCCAGCACTAGGGAGGCAGACAGGAGGGTCTCTGGGTTCACAGTCATCTTGGTCTACCTGGTGAATTCCAGGACAGCCAGAATATAGAGACCCAGGAAAACAACAACAAAAGAAGCCAATGGTGAGGGAGGCAGCTCTTCCTACAGTATCTCACCTAGATATTTCTCTATGATCTTAAGATTTACTTTATACATGCATGTGTCTCCTGCCTGCATATATAAGTATATATGTACATCACATGATTGTTTGCCTGAGGCACACATATCCAGGAGTGAGCACCGCTTCAAACTCCAGTTAGACGGTGCAAAAATTCTGTTTCAGCCTTTCCCATGCTGGTATTACAAGCACATGCCAACAAATCCGGCCTTTTTTCGGGACATGGATCATCTGTAGTATTGGCTGTCCTGGAGCTCGATCTGTTGAGCAGGCTGGCCTCAAACTCACAGAGATCCCCCTGCCTCTGCCTCCCGAATGCTGGATTAAAGGTGTGTACCACCATCCGGCTAAGTCTGGCCTCCTTCTCAGCCATTTTTGAAAACGTTAATTCATGTCAACGATACTTATCATTTTTATTTTTACTTATGGTGTCACATAGCTCAGGCTGGCCCGGGACTCACCCTGACTATTAATTTCTCTATGCTCCTATCTCCACCTCCACAGTGCTGGGATTAGAGGTGTGGGTTCCTATGACGGCTGTGTAGAATAGTGGAAGAGAGCCCAGGGCCTTGTGCCCAGCTGGAGCACTTGCTGCTCTAAAGTCAACGTTTCTAGAGAACTTCGTGTGTGCAAAATTAATCTACCCAGTCATCACCCCACTTCCTGAGTTCTGAGAAATGGGGGACCCAGCACCAGAGAGTACAGCAGGATGTAACAGCCCAAGGTGTTTGTTGGGTTATGTACGTCCTTTGTCCTCCCGCCCTGTGGCAGTTAAACCGAGGCAAAGCCCTCCCACGGCAGCCTGCACTCACCGGGGCGCCGTGGCAAACACATCCGGGTGCAGCTCCGCCAGGCCGACCCGCTCCTGCTCGAAGCCACGCAGGGACTCGACCCAGGCCTGCACGGGGCGCCGGTGCGCGGGGACCCGGAGCTCGCATTTGCGCAACACGGGACTTAGGAGACCTGGGGGTCGGGGAATGAGTGAACACGGGTCAGGAACAAAAATCAACACTTCCGTTGCATCCTCCCAACTACAGCCAAGCTGTGATCCCGGCCGCCTCACCCGCGCTATCCCCCGGCTCCGAGCTCTCGGCTGGCCGTGCCGAGTGCTCCGCTAGCGAGGTGAGGACCTGGAAAACGAGGGGCGTTTATTTAGAGATGCTCCCTGAGAGTTCACAACCTTGCACCTCCGACCCTGACCTCAGCTGGGCGCCCTACCCGGGAGCCAGAGGGTCGATGGCAGGCCTGCGAAGCGGCCCGAAACAATCGCAGCATCGCGGGTCAAATCGCAGAGCGGAGATCCCGAGCCCCCTGGAGGCTCGCGGCCAGTATTGATGACGTCAGGCTGCGCCGCTAGACGTCACGAGTGCGACTCCGCGGCCCTCGGCTCTAGAACGCGCAGTTTTGCTGATGCCCGCGAGCGCCACTGACGCCAGAAGCCCCGCCCCTCCGGAGCTCGGCGTCGGGAGTTAACTAATGAGGTTCACTTGAATGTTAATCTTTTGACTGACTTTGGACTTTTCCTGCCACGCTCCTTATTTTTTGACTACAACTTTTTCAGCGTCTAACTTAACCCCGTCTTACCGTTACCGTTGTTGGTATAAACTGATGTTTGTCTTTCAGAGTCAGGCTCACTATGTAGCCCAGGGTGGCCTCGAACTCAGAGAGCCACCTGATTTTGCTTCCTAAATGCTGAGATTAAAGATGTGTGTCAGACTGGGTGTAGTGTTGCACGCCTTTAATCCAGGCAGATTTTTGTGAGTTCGAGGCCAGCCGGTCTGTGTCGTGAATTCCAGAACTGTGAGAATGAGAAAATTAGACAAAATAAAATTTCTGGAAAATTAGACAAAATAAAACAAACAAAAAGAGCGTGTGCCTCAACGTCTACGTCTATTATTTCCTTTTCCGAGTACATTTTAACTTTTTAAATTTCTTTTTTGGGGAGTATATGTGTGTAGGTCAGGATTACTAAGGGAGTTGGAGCTTTCCTTCTACCTTGTGGATTGAATTTAGGTCCTTGGTTTGGCAGCAAGACATCTAACCTGTTGAGCTATCTGAAAAGCATTTTTTTTTCCTCCCTTAAACAAGGCTCCTCTGTGTAGCCCAGGCCGACCTTGAGTTGAAAGTCTAGCTCTCTCACTTTCTGTAGCGCTGGATTGCCAATGCTAATGCTAATTTTATATGTCCACCCGCACCTTTTGGGTGTGATAGGGTCTGACGTTGCCCAGGCTGGCTTTGAATTCTGGGTAGTCAAAGATAACCTGGAGCTCCTGATTCTCTTGCCTCCACCTCCAGTGTCTCCTCTTTCCAAACCGAAAGACTCCAGGCAGAAAGCTTTCAGTATTTCTTTTTCTTCCTCTTTCTTTAGTTTTTATTTTATGTGCGTGGGTGTTTTGCTTGCAAGTATGTCAGTATTTGTTTGGTTGTTACCCCTGAAGGCTAGAAGAAGGTATCAGATCCCCTGGATCTGAAGCTATGATATGGACATCTCTGTCATGTGGGTGCTGGGAACTGAACCCAGGTCCTCTAAAAGAAGCCAGTGCTCTTAACTGCTGAGCCAGCCCTTCCGCCCACTTTCAGTATTTCTTAGGCCTACTTAGATTCCAGGGCTCCCCCGATATCTAATCCTGCCCCTCCACCTTCCAGGACTTGCCCACGACAGAAACGAGTCACTGGATGAACAGATCTGAATCGCTTCACTAAGGTCCTCTCCAAGCTTATGGTATTGGCTCTGTTCCGCACTTAGCCTGCAGAGGGCGCTAAGAGCTCACACATGGCTCACTGCCAGCCGCTGTGAGGTCTGGACAGAACTTAGAAGTGGAACAAGTGATCTCTGGGCCAAACACCTTTCCATCTCCTGAATAATGGGGAAATGCTGAGACTTTAGTGAAATGAGGGATACCAAGGGTGGAATTCTTTTTTTTTATCTTTTTATCTTTTTTTTTTTTTGCTTTTTTTCCATGATATTTATTTATTTATTTATTTATTTATTTATTTTAGTTTTTCGAGACAGGGTTTCACTGTGGTTTTTGGAGCCTGTCCTGGAACTAGCTCTTGTAGACCAGGCTGGCCTCGAACTCACAGAGATCCGCCTGCCTCTGCCTCCCAAGTGCTGGGATTAAAGGCGTGCGCCACCACCGCCCGGCTTTCCATGATATTTATTGAGCTCTACATTTTTCTCTGCTACCCTCCTTGCCTCTCCCCTCCTCCCTTTTGCCTTCCCCCAAGGTCCCCATGCTCCCAATTTACTCAGGAGATCTTGTTTTGTTATACTTAGTGTCCGCATGGTTGTCTAAGTTCTCTGGGATTGTGATTTGTAGGCTGGCTTTCTTTGCTTTATGTTTAAAAACCACCTATGAGTGAGTACATGTGATAATTGTCTTTTTGTGTCTGGGTTACCTCACTCAAAATAATGTTTTCTAGTTCCATCCATTTTCCTGCAAAATTCAAACTGTCATTATTTTTTTCTGCTGTGTAGTACTCCATTGTGTAAATGTACCACATTTTTCTTATCCATTCTTCGATCAAGGGGCATTTAGGTTGTTTCCAGGTTCTGGCTATGACAAACAAAGCTGCTATGAACATAGTTGAGCACATGTCCTTGTGGCACAATTGAGCATCCTTTGGATATATACCCAAAAGTGGTATTCCTGGGTCTTGAGGAAGGTTGTTTCGTAATTTTTCTGAGAAATCGCCACACTGACATCCAGAGGGGTTGTACCAGCTTGCATTCCCACCAGCAATGCAGAAGTGTTCCCTTTTCCCTACAACCTCTCCAGTATAAGTTGTCATCAGTGTTTCTGATCTTGGCCATTCTTACAGGTGTAAGATGGAATCTCAGAGTTGTTTTGATTTGCATTTCTCTGATGAGTAAGGATGTTGAACATTTCCTTAAGTGTCTTTCAGCCATTTTAGATTCTTCTATTGAGAGTTCTCTGTTTAGGTCTGTACCCCATTTTTTTAAATTGGATTATGTGATCTTTTGGTGTCCAATTTCTTGAGTTCTTTATATATTTTGGAGATCAGTCCTCTGTCTGATGTGGGGTTAGTGAAGATCTTTTCCCATTCTGTAGGCTGTTGTTTTGTCTTGTTGACCGTGTCCTTTGCTTTACAGAAGAATTTCAGTTTCAGGAGGTCCCATTTATTAATTGTTTCTCTCAGTGTCTGTGCTGCTGGGATTATATCTAGGAAGTAGTTCCCTGCGCCAAAGCGTTCAAGTGTGCTTCCCAAGGGTGGAATTCTTGGGATGAGATGAAAACTCAGTAACCAGCATTAGTGATTCTAATACTTAGAGGCCTTGTGATCAGAGACAAAAGATCAAGGCAGAGGCAGGTGGATCTCAGTGTGTTCAAGCCACCTTGGTCTACTTAGCGAATTCCAGGCCAGTCAGGGCTACACACAGAGACTCTGTCTCAAACAATACAAAGCAAAGCAAAATCCCAAATCCGACCACCCACATAACAAAACAAACAAATATCAACAAACGAGAGCCAGGACACATTGGTGGGGAAGCCTTTGGAGAACTTAATTATTGAGCTAAATATGCGGTGGTTTGTGGTTGTTCTTTCTGCATCTATTATTAATTTATTTCTTAGGAGACTGGTTTCATGTAGCCCAGGCTGGCCTGGAACTCACTATGTAGCTGAGAACAACTGTGAACTGATCTGTCTCCACCTCCCCAGGACTGGAAGGGCTGTCTTGGGTTACTGTGCCCTGTGTATGTGGTGCTGAGGCTGGACTCTAGGGTCCCCTGCTTGTTAGGCAAGCACCCTACCCAGGCTCACTGATATATTTAATGGACATTCCTAGGATATACTATTAAATTTCCTAATTGACTATTACGCAGTGGTGAGTTAGTATGCATGGGGCCCTTGACTCAAACCCTAGCACTACAAAGAGAAGAATGATTGGTTCTAGCCAGGAAGTTTGGTGTGTGTGTGTGCCAAACAACACATGTGGAGGTAGGAGGACAACTTTGGTTTTTAGTTCTTTCCTTTCACCATGTAGGTTCTAGGGATCAAACTCAGGCTGTGAGATTTGGCAGCAAGCTCCTTCATCCATTGAGCCATCTCATTGGCCCCGGAACCCAGTGTTTTGGGGGTTTGCTTTTATTGTTATTTATTTGAGTTTGGGACATACGTGTGGGTGGAAGTCAAAACACAACTGTGGGAATTGGTTCTCTCCCTCTTTCACGGCGGGGGTCCTAGGTCTTGAACTCAGATGTCAAACTTGGCAGTAAGCACCTTTATTTGTGGAGCCCTCTTGACAGCCTGAATCCAGGTTTTTGCATGTGCAAAAACTGAGTATCACTATGTAAGCTCTGGCTGTCCTGGAACTCACTATGTAAAACAGGCTGGCCTCGCACTCACAGAGATCCGCCTGCCTCTGCCTCCCGAGTGCTGGGATTAAAGGTGTGCGCCACCATCGCCGGGCTCCTTCACCTTAGTTTTTGAGACATGATTTGAGGCTGACTGGCCAGTGCGCCTGCCTGAGGCTCTCCTTGTCTCAGCCTGCCCAATGCTGGGACTACAAGCATTACCACTGCACCTGGCTTTTATTATTATTATTATTAATTTTTTTATTGAGCTATGCATTTTTCTCCACTCCACTCCCTTCCTCCCCCCTCTCCTTCTACCCTCTCCAGTGACCCCAATGCTCCCAATTTACTCAGGAGATCTTGTCTTTTTCTCCTTCTTATGTAGATACATGTATGTCTCTCTTAGGGTCCTCTTTGTTATCTAGGTTCTCTGGGATTGTGAACTGTAGGTTGGCTTTTCTTTGCTTTATGTATAGAAGCCACTTACGAGTGAGTTCATAGTATATTTGTCTTTCTGGGTCTGGGTTACCTCACTCAATATGTTTTTTTTTCTAGATCCATCTATTTGTCTGCAAATTTCAAGATGCCATTTTTTTTAACCGCTGTAGTACTCTTATGTAAATGTACCACATCTTCTTTATGCACCTGTCTTCTTATGTGGGTGTTGGGATCTGAACTCAGGTACTCATGCCTGCACAGCAAGAATTTTACTGCCTGAGCCACCTCCCAGTTTCTCAGTCCTTTTTACTGTCTACTTTGAGACAGAGCTTTGCAAAGTTTAAGTCTCTCAGGCTGGCCTTGTGCTTACTATACAGCCCAGGCTGGCCTCCTGATTGTATTGGTCCTGTGTCATCTGCTGGCATAACTGAGACTGCAGGCCTGTGCCACCATACCCTATGCCCACATTTTCTTTATTCATTCATCTGTCAAAGGAAGAAACAGGGGGCTGGAGAGATGGCTCAGAGGTTAAGAGCATTGCTTGCTCTTCCAAAGGTCCTGAGTTCAATTCCCAGCAACCACATGGTGGCTCACAACCATCTG